ACAACTTTTACCACCCCAGACACCCTCCTTAGCCAGCAAAGTTGGAAAAAAACAAAGGGCAGATTCGGCCACCCCCATGATGAATAGCTAATGGGGTCTGGGGTGTCCTATGAAGTGTTCTGACCTTGGCTTTCCCCCAAAAGCACTAAGCCGACTCTTTCTCCTGGCAAAACCCCTTTTATTAAACGAGGGTGAATTTCTTGCATTCACATTCAGCCAAAGGCCTGGCCAGCAGCCTTTCACGGGTGTGATTAAGAGCACAGACCTCATCTAACTTGGAGAGCTGCCAAGTAAATATTTCCAAACGCAGTGCTGACAAGGAAGGACTCAGCACAGAGTCTCTGAGATGCACAGACAGAGCTTCACACAGCTGGAACGAACAAATTGTTTCCTGTCAAAAGCCCCTCCCCTTTTGCTCCTCTTTTAATCCCTGTGGGAAGGGCCATTCACCATCCACCTGAGCCTTTACTCCTGAGTCGACCCTTGTTCTTTAATTGTTCCCTTCCTCTGGCAGCTCTGTGCATGCGCACACTGGGAGCAGGCTCCAGCTATTCTTCTGCCCCACTGATCTTCGACTCCAAAGGCAGCTGATAACTGTCGGATGGCCCTGGCCCCATCTCTGCCTCCGACACAGAGCCCTCGTCCGGACCTTCCCCAGACTCCAGGACTGGCCCAGGTTTCCTCCTCAACCTCCTCACTTGTCCAACTCTGCTGCTAGCTCTGCTGGTCCGCCGGCAGGCCATAACTTCATGCCAGGAAGTCACAGCGTAGACTTTGGCCAAAGAGATCTCACTCACCTGACAGAAGAGTTGATTGTTGTCCTCTGAGACCAAGAGAAGACAGCAACATTGAGACTGGGTCTCCTGCTTCAGCTGCAGGAGAAGGAGAAGAAGAAGAAGAAGAAAGATGGAGCGTCTTGGACACGACCAGCATAGGGTGGAGAAGAACAAAGAAGATCAAGGTTCTTGAGGTGGAAACATCTGATGAACATTTGAGGGAACTGGGAATATCTACTTTCATGAAGAGAAAGACTAGGAGTGACATAATAGCAGTCTTCCAACATTTGAAGGACTGTCATAGAGGAGGCTGACTTATTCTTCAATGCAGTAACAGTGTAAAAGAGTTGGAAGGGATCTTGGAGATCTTCTACAATCTAGACCAACCCTCTACTCAACCAGGAGACCATCCACCATTCCAGACAACTAGCTGTCCAATCTCTTTTTAGAAACCTCCAGTGTTGGAGCATTCACAACTTCTGGAGGGAAGCTATTCCACTGATTAATTTTTCTCACTAATTTCTGCTTAGTTCTCGGTTGTTTTTCTCCTTGGTGGGTTTCCATCTGTTTCCATCTGGCTTTGGAGAAATGGGTGGAAGATCATTTAAAGAGAGACCCCGCCTAAAACTAAGGAGAAATTTCCTGACAGGAACAACATTTAACCAGTGGAACGACTCGCCTTCAGAAGCTGTGGATGCTCCATCACTGGAGGTTTTCAAGAAGAAACTGGACACCTACTATGGCCAATATGGTTGTCCCAAAGGTGCTTTTTAAAGAGGCAACTGGACCTTCTTGTTTTTTTCTTTGAAGACGAAAAAGACGAGACGCGAAACGTCTTCAGAGAAACACCAGAAAGTCCAGTTGCCTCTTGAAAAATCACCTTTGAGACAACCAGGACCTGGATGGCTGAGAACCTCCATAGACTTTTGACCAATATGGGTAGTTTCCTGTATTGAGCAGGGGGGCTGGACTACAAGACCTCTAAGGTCCCTTTCCAGCCCTAAGATTCTACGTTGTGTGGACTTGAAACAGAAAGGGAAGAATTATTCCTCTCTTATGGAGGTCAGGAGACGCGGTGGCTCAGCGGCTAAGACGCTGAGCTTGTCGATCAGAAAGGTCGGCAGTTTGGCGGTTCGAATCCCCAGCGCCGCGTCATGGAAAGAGCTCCCGTTCCTTGTCCCAGCTCCTTGCCAACCTGGCAGTTCGAAAGCACGTTTAAAAAATGCAAGTAGAAAAATAGGGACCCCTTTGGTGGGAAGGGAACAGCGCCCCATGCGTCTTCGAAGGTGTTTAGTCATGCCAGTCACATGACCACGGAGACGTCTTCGGACGGCGCTGGCTCTTCTTCTTCTTTGGATGGAGATGAGCACCGGCCCGTAGAGCCAGAAACAACTAGCACATATGTGCAAGGAGGGGAACATTTTACCTTCACCTTTACGGAGGTCAAAGTTTACTTAGAAACCAGACTAAACTAAAAATTTTCAACCTTGGCCACTTGAAGGTGAGTGTCAACTCAAAAAAAAAAAACATTCCTATGCCTATTTTAGTAGTTGCCATAAAAAAAAAAGTGTGGGGGGAAGGAAGGAAATATGGAAGAGCAGTGCAGCAAAGCAAAAGTACATTCCAACTCTTAGCTTTAAAAGATTGTAACTAAACTACCAGAGTTTTTGCCTGTGAATATATTCAATTGGAGAAGGTGATTGATGACACCCAGCCCGTGAAGGTGCTCAGTTGGAGAATCTGACTTATGACACACCCAGAGGGAAGGAAACAGGGTCCCAGGGGACTGTGAATGACGTGGGCCAGAGTGGGCTTCATACAGGGCAGGGCCAGGATGTAGACTCTAATGAATCCTTGGAAGCTTTTTGAAGTTTGGCTCGAGGATCATGATTTAATTAGGGCGATCGCTGGAACCCTGACAGTGGGTGGACTTCAACTCCCAGAATTCCCCAGTAGTGGGAAAGGCCTGGCGGCCCCTTCTTAATGGAAGGAAATGCTAATTACTCACGTAATTAATGACTTTGAGCTGGAGGGAGGCTGCATCCAGATCGTACAGTTCCCCTGAAAGGCAACAGATGCAGGTTTTTACGGGTTGAGTAATTGGAATGACAACATTGGCACGGTCGACACACAATGCCAGGTGGCACGCATCGCACCATAAACGGTGGCACGGCCGTGTAAAACAAGAAATAAAACATTCAGCCATGTCGACACCTGATAATAACAAGACAGTTTCCTTCTATTCCAGTGGTCACCAACCAGTGGGCCAGGGACCACTAGGGGTCTGTGAGAAAATGTTGGTGGTCCGCAGAGAAATGTAGCCCCCCCAAAGGAATTAATCCAGGCTGCATGGGAACACAAGGCTGCGCCACCCACATGGCCCGTGGGAACACAAGGCTTGTGTTGCTTGCATTGTGAACAACACAAGGGAGTGAGGGGAGGGGGGAAAGGGTGGAGGGGGGAACTTGCCCCACTCACCCCGCACTCCTGGCCTGGCCACCGGGCTGCTCATTTCTGCTTCTTTCTTCTTCTGCTTTTGGCTGCACACAAGGAAAGCAGCCAAAGTCTTTCTTTCTCTCCCCCAAACTCCACCAGAAATGAGTCTTTGGGACCCTGCAAGGCCTCCTGCTCCAAGAGGCTCATTTCTGGTGGAGTTTGGGGGAGAGAAAGAAAGACTTCTGCAGCTTCTGCTGCTTTCCTTGCATGAAGCCAAAAGTCTCTCTCTCTCTCTCTCTCTCCCCCTGAGAACGGAGCTGGAGACGGTATCCTGCGATCCCAAATAAAGAACGATCGATCGGGAGGAAAACGGGGTGGGGGATTTTCCTGCAAACTTTTGGGAGGATTTTCCCAGGGTCTCTGGTCCGCGGGATTTAAAAGGATGAGTTTGGTGGTCCCTGAGGTCCAAAACGTGGGCAACCCCTGATCTATATGACAGACTGAATTGCACAATGCAGCAAATACAGATAGAGGTGGCCCAGGACTTAGCACCACCATTCAGCCCCAAATTTCTGTTTTTTATGGGCATACAATTGCCTCATCTTATAACCTTTCTCGCCACCGCCATTAAGCGCATCGCTGCAGTTCTTAAAGCCAGTAACATGGCCGTTAAGTGGAACTGGCTTTTCCCATTGAGGTTGCTCGTTGGAAGGCCGCCGAAGCGGATCATGAGATCCTGGGACGCGGCGACCATCCTAAATACAAGTCAGTTTCCATGCCAGTCGCCAAGAATCCAAATGTTGGTCGTGTGGCCAGGTGTGTGTGTGTTGGTGGTGGTGGTGGAGGAAAAGCTGCAATGGTCGTAAGTGCAAAAAAACGGTCATCGGTTGCTTTTTTTCAATGCCGTTGTGACTTCGAGCAGCCACTAAAGGAATGGTCGAAAGTCGAGGATTTCCTGCATTATAACCGGTGAAGTTTGCTTCATTCCTTGAATCAGGTCTGGGGAACTACGGCCCCTGTATAGCCTGTGGATTTTAACTCCCAGAATTCCTGGGTCTGATTGAGGACTACCCAGGGGTGGACTTCAAATTTATTTTAGCAAGGGGCTCTCTACCCTAATGACTGGCTGGGTGGGCGTGGCTGGGTGGGCGTGGCTAGGTGGTCATGTGACTGGGTAGGTGTGACCAACTCAATGGCGCTTCTTTGCCCTAATTACCTAAAAAAAATGATAATATACCCAAAACTTGTTGTATTATTTTGTGCATTTAATACTTAAAAGAAAAGACTGGGTGAAACCAGGCTTATTAGCAGTGACTGTGAGGGTGATCTTGGGGGTCTTAGTGGAGTTTCTGGTGAGTTATGTGATTCTTATTATTTGGGAATGAATCCCCTCGGAGGCTAGTGGCTACCCTATCGGATTTTCTCCATGGCTCTCCCTCACGAGCGCCAAGTGGATCGTTTATCTAGCTTGCCACACTGTTACCAAGTGTGAAATGCTCAGAAGTTCAATGATGCCTATGAAGAGCTTTCCCCGGCTGCTTGTCTTCGTGAGGTTATTGGGGGCTCTCCGAGCCCCACAGAGTCTTAACTAGGGGGCTCCCCCGAGCCCCTGCGAGCCCCCAGCAGCCCACCCCTGAGACTACCTGTATACAAAGTTGGTTAGTGAGGGGTCTCTCCTGCCCTTTAACCTCTGTCCTTACCGCACAACTGCAGGATCTTGCTGTCCAGCTCGCTGTAGCTGCTCCTGGGAGGCTCCACGGGTTTGGCCTGGCGTGGTTGCAACTTCTGGAGGCTTTGGAGACGCTTGTAGGAAACCAGAATCTGAAACAAAACCACATTCACAAATGAAGAAGTCCCTCCTGTTTTAAAACAACCTGGTTTCGCTTTTAAAAAAAAGGGGGGGTTAAGTCACTCATCGGGAAATGGGGAAGTCCTCTCGGCTACATCCACACAACTCCGGGGACCTAATTCACCCCCTGGTTTGGGTTTCCACAAGGTTGGGTTTTCCTGGCCACTCCAACCTAGCTCCAGAATCAGAATAGAGCTTGGAGGGACCTTTGAGGTCATCTAGTCCAGCCCCTGGCTCAAGCAGGAGAGCCTACACCGTTTCAGACAAACGGCCATCCACTCTCTTCTTAAAAACCTGCAGGGATGGAAGCATTTACAACGTCTGGAGAAAAAGCCATTCCACGAATGAATTGTTCTCGCTGTCAGCAAGTTTTCTCCTTAGTTCTAAGGTTGCTTCTGTCCTTGATTAGTTTCCATCCGTTGCTTCTTGTCTTTCCTTCAAGTGCTTTGGAAAATAAGTTGACCCCTCCCTCTTCCTTGTGGCAGCCCCTCAAATACTGGAATGCTGCTATCCTGCTATATTATAATATTATCTATGTTATATATTCAGAAGTTGTGGGAGTTTCATCCCTGGAGGCTTTGAAAAAGAGATTGGACTGCCATTTGTCAGAAATGGTGAAGGGTCTCCTGCTTGGGCGGAGGGTTGGACTAGATGACCTGCAAGGTCCCTCCCAACGCTGCTAATCTGTAATCTGTAATGTCACCCCTGGTCCTTCTTTTCTCTAGACCGGCCAAACCCAAATCCTGCAACTGTTCTTCATATGTTTTTAGTCTCTATTTTTCTCCGATCCGGACCCATTAATAACCAATATAATACTTTAAGGTGAAGGACCAACGTCCCATAGCTCTTGGATGCTTTCTTTATTTACCCGTCGTTCAAACGAGACAATGGGAAACTAAAATGGAAACGAATGGAGCAGGGATGCCTCCTCGCCCAGATAAGCAGGGATTAATCCCAGACAAACACTCCAACGGAAAACAATACCCTAATCAAGGAAACTACAGAGGAGGCGAACGATCAAGCAGACAAACAATTAAGCCGGAAACAATGGTCTAATCAAAGCACGATTAAGGAGGAAAAAAACCACACTCCCACCAAACGCCAGCAGGGCAAGGGACTAGTATATAAACAGAAAGCAAATCCCCACCGCTCTCTCTATTCCTGCAACCAGTTCTTCATATGTTTTAGTCTCCGGGCCTTTAATCATCCTACTTGCTCTTCTTTGTACTTTTTCCAAAGTCTCAACATCTTTTTTTTGTAATGTGACCAAAATTGGTTGAGGTATGTATTCCAGGTGTGGCCTTGCTAAGGCTTTAGAAAGAGGTACTAACACTTCACGTGGTTTCGATTCAGTGCCTGTGTTGATACAACAATCCAGGTTGGGCTGTTGTACAAACCTCAGCTCCAGTGTTTTACCAATCCTGGTTTAAAGCATCCTGTGTAAATACAACTGGTGCGGACACTTGATTACAGATATAGATCATCAGAGTTGGAAGGGACCTTGGAGGTCATCTAGTCCAACCCCCTGCCCAAGCAGAAAACCCTACACCTACACCACAAATGGCAGTCCAGTCTCTTCTTGAAAGCCTCCAGGGATGAAGCTCCCACAACTTCTGAGGGCAACTTCTGTTCCATGGGTTGATTGTTCTCCCTGTCAGAAAGTTTTTCCTTATTTCCAGGCTGAATCAATCCTTGTTCAGTTTCCATCCATTATTTCTTCTCTGGCCTTCAAAGGTGCTTGAGAAAATAGCTTCACTCCTTCCTCCTCTCTGGGGCAGCCCCTCCCTCCAATATTGGAAGATGCTCTCCTGTCTCCCCTGGTCCTTCTCTTCCCTAGACCAGCCAAGCCCAGTTCCTGCAACCGTCTATCATATGTTTTAGCCTCCAGTCCCCTCATCATCCTGGTTGCTCTTCTCTGCACTTTTTCCAGAGTCACAACCTCTTTTTTATAGTGTGGTGACCAAAACTGGATGCAGTACTCCAGGTGTGGCCTTACTAAGGCTTTACAGAGTGGTATTAGTACCTCCCTTGATCTGAATTGTGTCCCTCTGTTAATACAATTTAGGATTGCATGGGCTCTTTTTGCTGCTGCTGCTGCACACGGCTGGCTCCTATTTAGCTGGTTGTCCACTAAGACTCCAAGATCCCTCTCCCAGTTCCTGCTATTGAGCCTGGATTCACCCAGTCTATAGGTGCACTTTTGGTTTGATGTGTATAGAAACAAGCCCTCAAAAGTTAGAACTGATTCAATTACAGGTGGTCCCTGATTTATGATTGGTATTGAGCTCCAAATGTTAAGCAGGACAGTTGCGAAGTGAGTTTTTTGCTCCGTTTCACAACCTTCCTCGCCACCATTGTTAAGCGAATCACTGCAATCGTTCAGTTAGTAACATGGCCTTTAAGTGAATCTGGCTTCCCCCTTGACTCTGGGGGCTCAGAAGATTGCAAAATGACGTGACCCCCCCCCCCGTCATAAATATGAGTCAGTTGCCACTTAACTTTTTTTGGGGGGGGGGCTTGGCGATGGGATTTTGGCCTCAGTTGTGGTTGTGGGTCGAGATTTACCTGTCGTTCCTTTGTTTTGGGTGCCAGGAGGCAGAAGGAAGGGGAGGGAGGAGATTCCCCTAGGAGTGGGATTCTACCTGGTCCGATTGGTTCTACAGAACCAGTTGTATAATTCTGCTCAGTTTGTAGAACTGGAAAATCGCTCTACTGGCTGGCCCTTCTCCTCCCCCTTACTCCTTACCTGGCATGCTTGCCATCCAACTTGCCTGCATTTGGTTAAGTTTCTATTTTTCCTTCCCCTACCCCGACCATCAGCTGTTCTGCTGTGCCAAGAGATTTAGATTAGCTTTCTAGCTTTCTAGCTAATCTAAACGCAGAGCTGAACCTTCCTTAGGACCGAAGCTTCTATTTTTCAGTGCAGACTCAGGTAGCAGATGGCAGAAAGGTAGATGTCTGAGTGAATCTGTGGATTCTGTGAGCAACTCAATCTGCCTGCCTGCTTTGCCTGATTTTGGGGTAAAAGTTGCTTTTTTTAAATAAAAAAATAATCCAATATTACATAAATATTTATAATATTTACATACAAGCCACGCCCAGCCGGTCACATGACTATCAAGCCACACCCAAAAATTAGGCCACACCCACAGAACCGGTTGTTAAGAAATTTGAATCCCGCCCCTGGATTGCCCCCTCTCCAAGTTCCTCAAGGATTTTATAAAAGGTGGGTTGACTCACATGCTTCTCCAAAGCCCGGAGGTTTTGCTCATCGGAGTCGGAAAGTTGCCCGCAGTAAACCTGGGGAAATTAAAGTAAAGAAATCAAAAGAGGAACGGATATACTTTTTTAAAAATAAATTTCTTATTTTATATTTACAATAAATCCACATTTCATTCAAACAGTGTGACGACTGAGTGCATCTACCTTGTGCTCAAAGTTATAATTAATACTTTTCTTGCCATTACATCAATAATTACATTTTCTTTATAAGCCATTATTATTTTTATAACAATCTTAACTTATTTCTCTACGTGTTCATCTACTCAATTTGAACTTGTTTTATTTTCCAACCATTGGTAAAATAATATTCATACGTAATATTCAGTTTCTTCTTTTTCTTTGATCACCAGTGTTAATCTGTTCGTCTCTGCACATTCTAATATTTTCTCAATCACCTTTCCCCCTATCAGAATTTTTATCACTTTTCCAGTTCTGAGCAAATACAATTCTGGCTGCAGTTAATACATGAATAATTGAATATGCTTTTCCTTTGCTATAACATTCAGGCACCGTCCCTAATAGGAATATTTCAGGTTTCAAATCCATATGTTGCTTTATCATTTTTTCCAACCAGGTATGTATTTTTGTCCAATATCTTTTAGTTTCTGCGCATGTCCACCAGATATGGTAATATGATCCAGGTGTTCAGTGGCACTTCCAACATTTAGTTCATTTGTCTTTAAACATCTTTGCCAATTTTGCTGGTGCAAAGTGCCACCTATAAAACAGAATAGAATAGAATAGAATAATTCTTTTATTGGCCAAGTGTGATTGGACACACAAGGAATTTGTCTCGGTGCAAATGCTCTCAGTGTACATAAAAGAAAAGATACATTCATCATCAAAACATCTTATATAAATTTTCTTTATATCCTGTCAATATTGTTCATTTATAATTTCTTTCCCACAGTTTCTGCCATGTATCTAGTTCTATAGTATACCCAAAATTTTTCGCCTATGCTATCATTGTTTTCTTTACTTGTTTTTCTCCTAGTTTGACACCTAGTAGATAACAATACACTTTCTTAATCAACTTGTCTTCCGAGGAACGGACATACGGAGAGCATGTGCAGAGGGCCAGGCTGAAATTAAGAAAATGATGTTGCAAAGGAGCGGGTAATCGGAGCATTGTCCTAGACACAAGAGTGGTTCTCAACGTTGGCCACTTTAAGATGGCTGGACTTTAACTTTGCTTCAACAGTTTTGATTATTAAAAATAGGCATGCCTATCTATAAGCAGCTCGTCCTCAGCCTATGACCACAATTGAGCCCAAAATGTATTGGTAAACCATTAGTAAAACTTCCACCAAGATGCACACATTCTTGCTCTAGTTTCTCACTCTTTATATGGGATATACAGTACATCTATATTTCTTTTCCCTATTAGACACCTTGGTCTCTGAGAGATTAGTTTTTATATGGCCTGTTTCATCGAACCATCTGTTTATATTCGCTACAAATCGTCTGAGTTTTCAGGGACTTTTATATCCCCAGCATAGAAAAATGCGTAAACATTCACATGCCTAACAAACATATCTCTGACATCATCATAAATATTTTCTTATGAACCTATTAAGCACCCAAGAGCACATCAGATAACAGATAATCAGAGTTGGAAGGGACCTTGTAGGTCATCTAGTCCAACCCCACCCCTAAG